GTTGCTAGGTTTACAGGGAGGTTGTGTGTCTGAGTGTGTGTGTGTGTGTGTGTGTGTGTGTGTGTGTGTGTGTGTGTGTGGCTTAGTCTTGACAACAATTATGCAAGCAAGATCCTACTACAGATGAAGAAGCTGAGGCTCAGATGTGGCTGAGGTCTCACAGCCCGTGCGCAGCAGAAACGGAGTTCAACTCCACGTCTTTTGGACACTCAACTCATCCTCTTAACCACTTGGCCCTCTGCCCCCTCCTTCCTTGCCTGACTTTTTTCACAAGAGTGAATGCCTTTAGAAAGGCTAGTTACTCTTTTCCTAGGGACATATCTATTTCAAGGCCACTGAGGAATTATAGTGGTTTTGCTTATTGGAAAATGTGTAGCTTTATTTTACTTTATTTTATTTTTTTATTTTATTTTTTTTGTGGTACGTGGGCCTCTCACCGGTGTGGCCTCTCCCGTTGCGGAGCACAGGCTCCGGACGCGCAGGCTCAGCGGCCACAGCCCACGGGCCCAGCCGCTCCGCGGCACGTGGGATCTTCCCAGACCAGGGCACGAACCCGTGTCCCCTGCATCGGCAGGCGGACTCTCAACCACTGCACCAGCAGGGAAGCCCTGTAGCTTTATTTTAGAAAAATAGCCAGGTGTGACCTGACATCTACTTTTCTTAGATTAAAATAAGGTCAGCCATAAAGACAAAAGAACGTTTGTCACCCTGTGCAGAGAACACCTGCAGTTTTTGCCTGCCAACCATCCGTCCCCTTCTGATGACAGCACCTCAGTCCAAAAACACCTTTGTCACTGCACACAGTTTTAGTAGGACCGTCAATCACAGGACCTTGCAAAGGAAGGACAAGGTCCTGTGACTGGCGATCAGACCTCCCCTTCTGGGGTTCAGATTCAGACTGCGGAGGCCTAAGAATGGAATGGGGTTGGAGTAGATTTATACCAGTGATGGCGTGTGCATTAAATCCTGCTACCCGGCTTCCTGAGGCTCAGCTGTCCTGGTTTCCATCTTTTCTTTAGGTTGGTTATTTCCTTTAATAACAAAACAACAGTTGTTGTTGTTATTATTAGGGCTTAATTCAGCCACAGTCAGTTTCTTTTGCTAGCAACCGAAGAACTGTGTCTGATACACCATTCAAATCTAGTTTGACAAAAACTAACTGGGGCTTTGTTAGAGAAGATCAGCCAAAACCTAAACGAAACAAAACTCAGTCGTAACAGTGATGCTGGCGGAAGTCCAGATATCGGCTGTCCTGTTCTCAAATGAGTGTTGGTATGTCTTCTCCCTTATTCTACACTCCCTCTTCCCACCATATCTCCCCATGTTTCCTTCCTGGCAGGATCTCAGTGAGGAAGGTTCTGTAAGACCTTTCCATCCACCTCTTTTCTATGATGTCGGGGCCAGCGTGTGAAGGAACCAAAATTAAGCAGAGAGATGGGGAGGGAGGTGAGGATGGAGGGTGGGAGGGCTTATGTTTCACAATTTGTCTTAAAAGAGCTGAGAGTTAGAAAAGATGAGGGGGCCCTAGAGAAAAGGGTGGGCTCTCTGATGGCTTAGGACCGTGGCTGTGAAAACAGGATAAAGTTGCTGGGCCAGATCTCAGAGCATCCATCTCAGTGCCCACCCTCAAAGTCACAATGAAAGAGATTAAAGGATTAATCTCCTGCTCTGCTTGATCCGCTGTGCCAATCAGGGCCACACGGGAAGGACAAAATAAACCTGCACGCTCACGAGGGCCATAGGGAACCTTGGTCTCCCTCTATCCTGGAGACCAGCTTGCAAGGAGTGCTGGCCAGCTGGGGCCAGACTGGGCTGGATGTGGGTGGGCACAGATGGCAGAAGGACAGTGGCTCCCCACTCCCTTTATTTTTAAAAACTTGCTCTTTACTACTCTAGCAAGTTGACAAACCATTATTGTCTTAGCAAAACAATGCCATTGCCTGAGACTGACTTTAGTAACTGACTATAGTCAGTTTCTGGAGAAAAAGTTTGGTTTTTTTAAATTGTCATTTTCACTGGTAAATTGGGATGTGTCAGTGTTTATACAAACAGTGGAGTATGTGTGTGTGTGTGTGTGTGTGTGTGTGTGTGTGTGTGTGCGCGCGCGCGCGCGGGTGTGCGTGTGAGGGGTGGCGGTTGAGAATTCAGAAGGAGAGTATCTGTTGGGTTTGCCTGTTGAGCACACATTCCCCCTTCTTCTGTTCAAAAGCACGCCCAATTTCTTGATGGGAAACCAGGCCATTTTCAACACAAATGGTTCCAGTATGACCGAGCCTGCACTCTGGCTCCAGCGGTGGTATCTGTCCTGGGTCTATGCCACCCCTCATCTATAGTGATTAGTTCAAGAATGGACACAGGGCCCATGTTGGTCCAACCAAGTCACCTGGGGCCTTTTGCTGGGACTCAGCAAAGAAGTACTCTCTTTGGCCCTGGAGTTGCTAAGCTGGCAGGATGGGAACTTCCAGTGTTGTTCACATAGAAAGAACCTGCCCAAGAATGCAGCTAACCAGGGAAAAACAAAGCCGAGGTGTGGGGGGCAAGATACCCACCCTGCTGGTATCTTTGGAGTCTCTGGATCCAGCCACATCGATCCGGCTAAAGCCAGATCTATCCTTGGACCTTTAAGCTGCTTGGGCAAACAAATCTCATTTTTGGCTTAAGCCAGTTTGACCTAGGTGTCTGTACTTGTAATCCAGAGTCCTGCCTGGGACAGATACTGACAGGGAAACAACTGCATCCCAGAGGAGGGCAGAGAAAGAGACACGAGCTTCTCCACTGCCCAAGAGTAGAGGGAGAGAGAGAAAGGGATGGGTAATCAACCTGGAGCGCACCCCAGTGAAGGATTAATCCTGATCCCTTGACTGGGGACCTCTGTTTCAGAGGATTAGGCTTCCCAGGAAACATGGATTTAAGACTCTCTAAAGCTTTGCTAATGACTATGGTAAATAATTAATACCCCACATTATTTCCTGTTACTCAGATCTTCATATTAAATATTCAGTAATTTCTTAATGTCTGCATTCTCACCAGGCTTAAAGGAAGCTCTTTCAAATAAACTAGCCACGATAGAGGAAGATATCAGGATCACCAAAGATGTCGTGGTAATTTCCAGAGACTCATTAGCAAGTTGATGACTATTAATTTTCAAATTTAATTAACAGACAGAAGTGGCACTTTCTTGTAATTTATATCATTAGTCAAATGAGCCTTCTCATTAAGATCTGCAATCTACAAGCTTACAAACTGGTGAATGACTTTAAACATGGAGAACTATTGATAAGGAACTACCTGGTCTCAACTGGTTTTTGGATTTTGACAAAAGGGGGAAAAATTAATTTCATTCCCTGGTGGTTTCTAAACAGAACTTTTCTTAAACATATTTAGGTTATTCACTACCACACCACCACTGTGATTACAAACCTCATTTCCACTCTCCCTTAAATCCAACCAAAAAATGGGTCACATCAGATTAAGCACCAAGTTCGACCCTTATTGGCAATCATTAATACTACTTGCATTAATGAAAAAATGTTTAAATTTGACACATATGAAAACAAACCAGATGCCTAAAACAGATCCAAATAGAAATTTCATTGAGGAAACGGTGTGCAAGATGAGTCTGTGGATGGACCCAGCAAACATCACAGAGACAAAGGCTGTTTACTATTAAAGGCTAATTAGCAAACAAATCAATAATATTTTCACAAGATCTAATTGCAATCTTGCTCCACTCTCTCCATGAAAGAAGGAGTCAAGTGCTGTAGCAATAGGAAGGAGAATTTTACCGAATCAATCAAATAACATTTTTAAAGCATCTACTGAGAAGTGGAGCACCCAATGGGCAGAAGAAGCATGTACTTGGAGCATCAGCAAAGTGTGAGCACCTATGTTTTTGTTTTAAAATAATTTTCTACCTAATAATTGAAAAAATAAAGGAAGGAAGAAAATCAGCAAAGCAATTCCAAGGGGGAAAAATCAGAAGTTTGTTGGGTTTCCTAACACCTACTTCACAATTTATTGTTATTAGGTTGAATTGCACATGGCAGGAGTCCATCAGTTTTTCAACGCTTAGGGGTTGGTTTCTAATGGTTTTAATCTAGCCTTGACAATAGGTAAGACATTTGGGGCACAGGATTCCAAATACAGAGAATATCTGGTTCAGATGAAAACAGATTAATACAAAGTTAAATGTCTTTCAAAGACCAAATGATATGTATGTGAGGTAAACATTACCAATAGGAAGATATGACATGTTCACTTCATTAATGACGTACAAACGACAGCAAATGTGCACGTTTGGAAAGAATAACTACAAAATTTAAAATACTAGTGGAATTCCAACTTCACTTTACTGATAAATAAACCTCTGAAGTCTAGAGGTGAAAATTCACTTATGGTATATACTCAGGATATATTTCCTCACTTACAGGTTTCTACCTGAGAACAGTGCTGCATTTTGGATGCTGTTCTAACTTGCAGAAAAGAACTCACAGCACCATTTTAATGGAAAGAACAAGGAAGCTAGTGAAGGCAACATCCTCTGGAGGTGTTGCCATCCTTTAGAAAGTGGGTAAGTGGTGGGAAAATGCTTCCAAGTGAGTTCAAGTCTTAGCCTGTGGCATTTTAACAGCTGTGTGACCTTGAGTAATTAACCTAACTTCTCTGAGCCTCAGTCTCTTCATCAGTAAAATGGGAATAATAGCAGTACCTAACTCAAAGACTGTTGTCAAGATTAAACAAGAAATGGTAGATAAAGCACTCACCACTCTGCCTGTTATAAGAATCAGTTGGCAAACAGTAGCCTTTCTTCCCCACTCCCCCCATACCCTGCGGAACAAAATGCTGTTTTCCTTTAAATTGTAACCAATCACCAATTCCTTGGCCTCAGGAGGGATGGCCCTGTAGAAGGCCAAGGCTACCATTCTCACTGACCAGTAGTTCAGAAACCCTGAGCTTCAGGCTCAAGCAGTCTTGTCATTCTTCTGCCCGGTGAATCTTACCTCGTAGTAACTCTGGACAGCATTCATAAAGGCTTCATCAGCCACGATTTGGGTTTCCCCATTGAGAAAAGCCTGAAACCGGTCCTTGACTGTCTGCAGCTGCTGTTTGCTGATCTGTAAGAAACAGAGAAGTAGGGGACAGTGAGGAATTTCTCTAGACAAGGATCACGGTTACTTTACATTGAAGATGCCAGGCCCACTGACGTGCTAGAGCCGGCTTACACAGGCGCGTGGGAGCTGATTATTATATTCATGGGAATTCTGTGAGGCAGTTGTTAAACAAAGCCATTACTAAAAGTTAATATAAATTATAGCTAAATTATATTGAAAACAAGGGTAAGACACACTCAGAATTCGATGCTTCCTGGTTATTTTATCACATTTGCTATTATCTGAGTTTTTGAGGTCAATTACATCTATGTATTTGTATGGTGGAAATGATATAAAATGTGGTGCTACCACACATTTCTTCCCAATTTTGCATTCAATGATTTTTTTATTGGAAGCTAGACATGAGCCAAGGTGGGAGTGTTTACACCATGGAAATTGGCAAATGCTACAAATCAGGGTTGGATTCTTTTGTTTGGTTTTTTGTTTTGTTTTTGTTTTTTTGGGAGACGGTTTTTCCAACACACCACTGCACAGGCCCCTCAGGTGGTCTGAAATATCCTGCTTTACAAAGATATAATAAACAAAACAGTAAGGTACTGACATAAAAACGGACACGTAGATTAATGGAACAAAATTGAGAACCCAGAAATTAATCCACGTATATATGGCCAACTAATATTTGACAAGGGAGCTAAGACTACTCAATGGGGAAAGGATGGTCTCTTCAATAAATAATGTTGGAAAACCGGATATTCACATGCATAAGAACGAAACTGCACTCCTATCTTACACCACTCACAAAAATTAATTCAAAATAGGTTAAAGCCCTTAATGTAAGACCGGAAACTTTAAGACTACTAGAGGACAACGCAGGGTAAAAGCTCCTTGACATTGGTCCTGGCAGTGATTTTTTTCGGATACGACACCAAAAGCACAAGGAATAAAAGCAAAAATAAACAGGTGGGACTACATCAAACTCAAAAGCTTCCACATAGCAAAAGAAACTATCAGCAAAATGAAAATGCAACCTATGGAATAGGAGAAAATATTTGCAAACCATCTACCTGATAAGGGGTTAATATCCAAAGTACGTAAGGAACTCATATACCTCAATAGAAAAAAAAAAGAATAAAAAAGTGCAGAGGACTGGAAGAGACAATTTTTCAAAGAAGACATACAAACGGCCAGCAAGTACATGAAAAGGTGATCATTTTTACTAATTATGAGGGAAATGCCAATCAAAACCAAAATGAGCTATCACCTCACACCTGCCAGAGTAGCTATCATCAAAAAAACAAGATACAGGTATTGGCAAAAGTGTTGAGAAAAGGGAACCCCATGAACTGTTGGTAGTAATGTAAATTGGTGTAGCCACTGTGGTTCCTCAAAAAATTAAAAATAGAACTACCATAAGATCCAGCTATCCCACTTCTAGGTATACATCCCAAGGAAAAGAAGTCGCTATCTTGAAGAGATATCTACACTCCCATGTTCATTGCAGTATTATTTATAATGGCCAGAACATGGAAACAACCTACCTGCCCATCAATGGATGAATGGATAAAGAAAATGTGATATATGTATGTATACACACACACACGTGTGTATATATATACATATGTACACACACACCTAAATACACAAACACATATATACACATGTATACATATATATAACACGCACACACTGGATTATTATATACACAGAGACACAGACACACACGTTGGAATATTATTCAGCCATAAAAAAGGAAATCCTGCCTTTTACAACAACGTGTATGAACCTTGAGGGCATTATGCTAAGTGAAATAAGTCAGACAGGCAAAGATAAATACTGTACGTTCTCACTTATATGAGGAATCTAAAAAATCTGAACGCATAAAAAGAGAGACTAGAATAATGGTTACTGGGGGTTGAGGGGTAGGGGAAATGGGGTCCAAGGGTGCAAACTTCCAGCTATAAGATGAGTAAGTTCTGGGCATCTAACATGTATAGCATAGTGACTATAATTAACAATACTCTATTAAGTACTTGAAAGTTGTGAAGAGAGTAATCTTACAGGCTGTTATCACAAGAGAAAAACAGTAATTATGTGAGGGGATGAAAATGTTAACTAACCTTATTGTGGTAAGATTTCACAATATATACATGTATCAAATTGTCACATCAGACATCTTAAACTTATATATGTTATATTTCAATAATATCTCAATAAAGCTTGGGGGAAAATACCCTGCTAAGTGCAGCATGGCAATATACAAAGGTTTTCAAACTTTACTGTTGTTACATTCATGATCACATGAAAGGTGACATTTAGGTCCACGATACACTTCCAGGATGTGGCATAGATAATTTGGGCAGTAGGTTATGTGTAATTCCCTGCCTCATCAAGCCCCCTTTCTTCCCCATGTAGGAAAGCATTCCTGAAAGATTGCTATTTATTCTTCCTCCTCCATACTCTATCTGGCTGTGTCCCACTGTCCTTCAGTCTCAGCATGAGCAGTGCTAACTTATGAAGCCCTTCCCAAACCCTAGCCTACATCTTCCTGCTAAGTCATTCCGGGGCACATCATTTATTCTAACTACTTGTTAGTTATGGTCAAATTTGTTAGATGATCTGCCTTTCCTTGCTATTTTGTTCTTTGATGTTTCCCCAGGGCCAACTTAGTGCTTTAATACACACGGCAGGCATTCATGTTAAATGAATGAGTGAATGAATGAAGTGTATGGAAGACAAATTATTTTCGAATATCCTTTCATCAGTTCTAATTTACCGAAAAACAAAGTCAGCTAAAAACTTTACTCTTTTAACCATTATTTATGCAAAGTCACACTTCTTAATTGACAATGGGACACTCTGAGAACTGCTGCTCTAGTAGAAAGAGGAAGATTATTCCAGGCTCAGTTCTATCGACCATTGTGTCATCTTGGAAAAGCCACTTATGTTCTCAGAATTGGCCACGGACTTAAAAGCCTTTCTGGAATAGGGCCGGGTTTAAATAAATGAATGTTATCCTAGCCTCAGTTTTCTCACTTGAAAAATGATGATAATCCTTATTACTCACTACCTTGGGATAGTTATATCTACTCAATCACATGAGTTCTTTAAAATTATGAGTTTGTATATTCATTTAGAGTGTTTGCATCATCAGAGTCAACGTAAGTCTTGTTAGTAGAAAATAAAAGCTTCAAGCTATAGGAGACTAAAGCCTCACATGAGCTTTAACTCCATCAGGAAATGAATCAAAACAGACTTTTGAGAACAGACATAGATGAAAGTCGGGGTGCTTTAGCTAATTTTTGTACTTTGGGAGAAGTGGGGAACAGTGAATTTGGGGGCAGATAATAGAGGGGGTAGTTTTGTATCACATTCATATTTGTTTTGTTCTAGAGCACCACTGCCCAATGTCAGTGTAATTTCACATTTTCTAGTAAATTTAGATTTTCTAGTCACATTAAAAAAAGTAAAAAGCAGGTGAAATGAATTTTCCTATACTTTGTTAGACCCAACATGTCAAGATAATATCACGCTGACATGTAATCATTAGAGAAATTATTAATGAAATATCTTACATTCTTTTTTTACACTGTGTCTTTGAATCTAATGTACTTTACACTTAAAGTACATCTCAATTCAGAATAACCCCATTGCAACTTTTCAGTAGCCACATGGGCCTAGCGCATGGAATGAACTCACTTCTAAGCCAGCTTAAGCTCTCCTGTTCTGACCCAACGATATTGGTTATCAGAGGAGTTATACAGAAAATCAGTTATTTTGTATGTGGTTGAAATCATTTACACTGAAATATCAGGCAGCGGATGATTTGCTCATTAAAATGACATCATCACATGAATTTCTTTCATGCAGGCGGATTTAAGTCTCAAACCTTTACAGCATAGCACCACCAGAGGCATCTCACAGCATTTCTCGCTCAGAATTCCTTCCAAGTCTGGATTCATACTAACTCTGCATGATTTGGGGGGTGGGATGGAGTGGGGTGATGGGGCAAGAGAGGGAAGGGAAATCCATAAAGCGTGCTTTTGCCTTAAGTGCTTAAGTAATTTGAAATAAAATAAGGTGCACACCACCTGAAGCATAAAGATTGTTGACCCAGGCCAAATCCATTATCACCGTAACCTTTTGTTAAATAAGCCTAGTGTTCATTTATTTTAAGAAATATTTACAGAGCACCTAGCCCCTGCCTGGTCCTGCCCCAGACCCTGAGGTCAACAAAATACATTCGACCTCTCAACTCACCAGCCAGGGCTAGGCACTGGGGTATCAGCATACCAAAAACAAACAAAAGTATGGTTTAGGGTTTCAGAGGAGAGAGATTACAGACTATAAAATTCACAAAACGAAATCTGAAAAATAGATATATGTATAACTGAATCACTTTGCTGTACACCTGAAACTAACCCAACATTGTAAATTAACTACACTATGATATAAAATTAAAATTTTTTTTAAATTACCACAAATGGGAATGTTTAAAAAAAAGACTCAAAAAGAAAAGGCCTCCAGGAACATTCATTTCAGTTGAGTTCAGAGAACTCACATCATGAAGCCCCACAAAACATACCCCACTTCCCTGGATACCCCACGTTCCAGGCAGGAGAGTTAGGGACACGGATTATCGTAGCAGAGCTATGCTTGCATCTGGGCTTGACACCTGCCCATCCATGTTCACTACTTTTCTCACCACTAATTTAACAAGCATAGTGTCCATTTGGTCAACTCACTAGCTGTGTCTCACTAGGCAAACGGCTAACCTCTGGACACCTCAGCATTTTTTACCTGTAAAATGGTGCCAATAGTGACCTCATACAATTGTTGTCAGGATTAACTGCGATACGTAAAATAGCCATTGCAGAACCTGGCACAGCATGTACGCTCAATGAACATCAGCTGCTGTGAAGCTTGATCCTCTTGAGTCTTCGCCTTGAGAAAGGCAAAGACTGTTCCCTTGAGAAAGCATGCCCATGGGAAAATTCCACATGTAT